CTCGAAACTCTACTTTTATACGAAAAGTAAGCTTAACAAGGTTGTCATGGATAAGGCAATTACTGTACATGTTAAACCTTTGAGGGACAGGGGGGGACTTTTCTTGGAGAGTGGATTGAATTTCGCTCTTCATAATAAAATAAACCATTCTCTTGGCATACTTGCTGAATTGTCTGACGAAGGTGATTCCACATTTTAGGCCAAAAAATCTTGTCTACTGAATAGGAATTCTAGCTAATTATGCCACAAGAATAGGATTTTTTAAAGCCAAAATGGATGTAATCGTGGTCGTCATGGCCGGGTTAAGTTGGTCAGATTGGCTGATAGTTTAATCAGACGACATTGATACCTTTAAGACTTCTAACTGGACTGGTAGATGCCGAAAAAACACTTAAAAAACGGAGCAATGAGGAAGAGGTGCATAAAGAGTGGAGTTCTATCAGATCAAGTGTAGATAATAAAGGAAATGTGATACATAAAATGTACCATTTTCAGGCAGAAAATGAAGAAAATTTTTCGTTTCTAATTAAGTTTTCGAATTCCACATTGCCTTGCTTTCCCAAAAGGTATTCTTGTTCAGAGTGGGCGGCAGCTTCAACCTCGAATAGGGCTCATCAGTTTGTGGTGTTTGTTGGCCAACAACGTATTTCACAGGAAGATACGCTAGTAGGTGGTATCAATGCATACCATCATTCTGTAGGGTGCCAAATCAGAGCTTATGAAAGGCATAAGTTCAACGTTTGACTCCATTTTGAGATTGAGAAATTCGACATGGATATGCGTCTCGAAACTCTGCTTACATTTTTTCAACGTTCTCTCACTTATTCGTAAAATGCTCAATTTAATCCTTTTTACTCACTTTCCCCATTTGCTCCCAGTTTCCTCGTCATTACGCCATCATCAATTGGAATCACCCTGGGTTCAGAGACAGTTGATTTAGCATTTAGCCTTCGCTCTGAAGGCGAATTCAGCGATTATGGAAGGCATAATTTAATCTTTTGACTCTATCTTGAGATTGATAAATTTGCTATTGGTAACGAACTATTTTGTAGTTTGACAGCATGGTCTACTACTTTCACTTATCTGGCGCGAGAGGTAATGCTAAGTTCACCTTTTAATTTGGTCAAATTGGTATTAAGCAAAATGGCAAGTTGGGCAGAAATGTGTCTAGGAGACCAGCAGAGAAAATGTGTTTGCAAACCAAAACGTATTGGAATTTTGAACATAATTAGACTATATTAGTCTTTTGTTGGTCATTTTTATAGTTACAACCGCATACACACACACATACACACAGAGCTGATTGCCTTAACCAGACCTATATCCGGAATTGCACAACCGGAGTGATGGCATGAAAAGGAGTAATTAAATCATAATGTTCGTGAACAGAGGTTGCCATAAGCTATCGATGTTAAGTTGTTGCTTTCACGTATACGCAAACGCAAAGACGCACATACAAGCATCCCATGTAGAGGCGTCTACATTTACATATAAAATGAACTGGCAAAATCATTCTGTACCCTCATAAAATGCATAAGTTTCGACTATATACATTCAGCATGTGGAGATGAGTCGATGGGTTTTCTTGATTCATTCACTGGAATATGGTCAAAATAACGATGTCCTCTTCTGTTCATGTCCGTCATGTGACAGACATGTGACAGTCTAACACGTTATCGTCGCAATCAAAGAAGATTTTCTAAGACACAGTCTCGATCAGAATGCTCCAGTATGGACAAACAAAAGCTGACCAAAATAAATCCTTCATCAGCTTCTGGTTGGATTGACCTTCGAATCTCTTCAACACACACACACACACACACACACACAAACACACACTTTCATTCGACATTGAAGTAAGCTCAACAATTGCAAACTTTTGAGTTGAAAGTCTCGCGGTTCTAAAGAGAGTCGAGCAGCAATTGGTGCCCTGCTGGGGGCAAAATATAATTTTTAGAAATGGCTTGACCTCATTTTCGCAACTTGGCCTTGTTGTCAGGGCGACTTGGTAGAACGCACCTAGTCCGAAGTCGTCTGCCACAGTAGTTGTCATGATTCCCAGCATCAGACTGTGGACTTGGTACCTTCTCACATGTTTCGCCAGGAATCGTAGTCGGCATCATCAGTCAGTTTTGTCATTCTCCAAACCAAGCTACGAACTCGTCAAAGGTACCAAGTCGACTGTCTGATGTTGGGAATCATGACAACTACTCTGGCAAACGACTTCGGACTCGGTGCGCTCTACATAGTCGCCATGACAACAAGACCAAGTTGCGAAAACGAGGTCAACCCACTTCTATACATCGAAAGGAGACTGCGACCATACCGGGGGCCACAAAATCTTGGTCTTCATAGCTTTAAAATGTAATTTTGACAATATAAAGAAAGGGAAGATAGGCACAAGGTTGAAATAAACCTCAACATTTAGGCAAATATGTAATAGGCAGGATTGTGTGCTTGTGTGCTTGTGTGCTGGTGCGCGCCTGTTTGGAGATTAGTGCACACGGAGCGTAGAATCGGGTGGAGAAAGGGGAAAAAGCTGTGCTGTCTACGAGGTTCATGTGCCATGGAGACGCAGAACAGGTTGAAGAACCGGTTGCAGTTGGGGCGAGCCTGTACAAACGGAGCATAAATATGGGAAGTATGCAAGGGTTTGGGGAAACCGAGGGGCAGAAGCTTTTGGTAACCAGAACAGGATTGCACAGAAGACGAGCTGATAGGGTTTTGTAGAGAAAACCGTCTGTGACTGAAAATACTGTGGATTAAAACAGAAAATTCGGGCTACAAGTCAGTGAAATTCGACATAGCAACATAGATCTATGCACATACATACATACGCACATGTCTGGGATAACGGCATCATTCAGCTGGAGAGGAGCAGGAGTGGGGCAGAATAACAGCGAATAAATCACACGACCGACAGCCCAACTTGTAGGGATAGGCACACAGAAGACTTGCATGTGACGCCTTTAGGGAATCGAAGCTGTTCACGCTTCGCGAACTCTTTGATGACTGCCACTGAAGAAGTTGCGTCAGACTCAATGGACAAAGAAGCTCTCCGCATATATCTCCCGTCGTCCAAACACACATCTGCACATGAGCACACAAACACACGACAAATACATATCTATGCATATATTGTAGTGTATGCCTGTGTGTGTATATTCACAGGTTCAATATAAATGTAGATATATAATTGGGTGTTTAATGTATGTGTACATGTGTGAATGCAAGAAATGAAGAAATGAATAAGTATATATGACAATGCACACATAAACACATCACACAATATAAACATATATAGATAGATAGATAAATACATATACATATATATATATATGCATACTAAAAATGCACATAAAAATGCACATAACTACAAATGATATATATGCATATAGAAATCTATACTTCGCATTATAAATATATATATAATGTATGAATATATTATTTTTATGTTTATTATGTACATGTGCATGTACACATAAATAGAAGTGACTATACGTAATAGACAAATAACGCATTCTAACTACATACAGTATCAAATCTT